ACATTCCACGCTCCAGGCAGCTGAAAGACCAGAGAACTCTTGCAAAGATGTCACACTGTGACTATCAGTAACAGAAAGTATTTATCAAGCCTTTTCTATGGGCCAGACCTAAGCTAAGCGTCTTAGAAAGAATGACTTCATTATCACAGTAACCCTGTGAAGTAAGAGGTGTACTGTGACCCTCTCGTTACCGAGGTAAAAAGGAGTAACTTCTAAGATTCCCAGGCAGTGAGCAGGGGATCGAGGACCTTCGCCGAGGGACTCTGACCTGAAAGCCCTCACCCCTGTGTGCCTCCCCTCCTGGGGCCGTGAGGCAGCCACAGGCATGTCCCGGGAGGGTCACTGGTCCCGGCCGCTCGCTCACCTTTTCACCTTCCTTCTCCCTCAGAACCCACCAAGAACCCTATTCTCCACGTGAAAGCCGAAGTGCACAAGTCCCTGGACAGTTATGCCGCCAGCCTGGCCAAAGTCATAGAGGCCGAGGCCAAAATCAACTTATTTGGGGAAGAGGCTTTGCCTGGGGTCTTGATGGCGGCGCGGACTGTCCCTGGGGCCAGCCTTGGGGGCCGCCGAGGCAGCAGAACTGTCGTGAGTCAAAGGCTTCAACTGCAGAGCATCGAAGAAGGGAACATTCTAGCTTCGGAACAGAAATGAGGGCCTCAGGGTGGCCCGTCCTGGACAGGGACGCCCGTGGCCATCCATGTCAGGACCAGCATCTGGGTGCAGCCCCCAGATAAAACACTCCGTGGTCAGTGACTTCCGTGTCTGTGTGAGGCCACAGGTGGGCTTCTGGTAGGTCCCAGGGATGGGACCAGAGGCATCGAAAGCACAAAGCAAAGCAGGCGGAGGTGTGGCCGTGACTTTCTGGGAGGTGGGGGCACATAAGGGACTAGGGACCAGGCTGGGAAGGAACCACCATGTGGGGCGTTTCCTTGTTTGCACAACCTGTCTCCTGGGCGTCCAGCCTCACACGGTACCAGAGGCTCAGGACGCGAGCCTTTCCCAGTGCACTCGGGAGGTTGGCACGTCTTCCCAGCAAAGCAAGCTCACCCCAGGCCTTCTGCGTGGTCAGTGCAGACCGTGTGGGGTCCCTGGAGGA